ATCATCACTTTTTCGAGCATCCAATTTCGAGAGAAGATGCTGTAAAATACAACATTTAGGTAATCTATGTAATCCATGTATGTCTGTATGTATGCACTTTTTCGAACATCATAGATGGGGGAAGCCAGGCCGCCAACCCTCCCGCTGCCTTTCAAATTCTATCGCACCCTTTCTTGAGCCATTGCACCCTACTTGAATCATCACTTCTTCGAACATCATGCAGGGGGGCGGCCCCCCCCCCCCCAACCCCCCGGCTACGTTTTAGATGTCCTACAGAGATTTAATTGCACCCATTTGAATCATTACTTCTTCAAACATCATGGGGGGGGCTGCCGCCCCCCCCAACCCCCCGAACCCCGCCGCTACTTTTTACACGTTTTGCAGAGATTCAATTGCACCCCTATTCGAAGCATCACTTCTGCGAACATCATGGAGAGGGCTGCCGCCCCCCCAACCTCCCCGCTACTTAGTATACTTGTTTTTTGTTATTTTTTAGGGATCGAAATGCCCTCCTGTTTGAATCATCATTTGTTTGCCCCCGTCAACCCGCCAGCTACTTTTTAGATTTTGTTACCTACGATGTGTTGGTGATGCTAGGGATGTTGGTTGGACATGCGGGTGTTGACGGGCTAGTGTAAAATGCGTCAATTTCGCGAGAAAATGCTGTAAAATGCGATATGTTACTGGCCCGGCAAAATAACAATAATAAAGAACCGCGCCCATACGTACTGTTCCCCAATACAAACCTATAAGAGGCTACTTTTGAGCCAGTAATGAACTGGCGCTTTCTCCCACCGACCTTTGATCCGGTCGTACTATGGGCCCCTCCGCCCGCACACGACCGGACCTACACAGAAGTGAAAAGCACGGGGTTGGCAGGCCATATCTGGAACTGGGGCCCGTAGCAATAGTTTTTTTCTCAGGTTGTGCCACATTGACGTCCTGAAACATTTTGTCGCACTCTTTCTGCGCGCTGGCGCGGTTCTGTGTTGACCCTTCGCGTGAGGTGCCAGCAGAAACCAGGCGGCAACGAATGTCAATCAGAGCTTCAGCCTTGCCAAACTGAGTTTGTAAAATTGTTCTCAGCCATCCCCCTCTCCACAAGCAACATCAGCCACCCCGTTACAACCCCCCAAAGAACAACAGCCCTAGATAGACGAAAATCCGTTTGCTTTGTGCCACCTCGTTTTTCAGTATGAAACCCACCAGTGGGTCAGAGGAAGGTGGACTTCCAGGACCTGCCATGTTGCATGTTGCCATGGCTCTCTATTTCCAGGGCTGGGCCAAGCACTACAGAAATGTTGACCCCATGTTAATCAACCCCAGTTTAGCAATAAGGGGGTGTTCCACTGCAAAAGTAATGATTCCCCACTAAACCCAAAAACATCCCCTATGAATAAACTGGGGTTGCTTAGTATGGGGTCAACATTAGCTACCCTGATTTCCCTTCAGTGACCGGTTCAGCGGGAACCTAGTGCCATGCCCAGGTGCTTCCCGGCTCGTTGGCGGAAGTCTGGAACTCTCAGTCAGGCAACTGGAGGGCGCGGTGGGGCGAGCTGTGAAACTGTTGGAGTCGGTTGTGTTGTGTTCATGTAATCGCTGGGACGAACACGTTTAACTTGGGGCCGAAGCAGCTTGACGTTGAAAGTCCTGGAATCAATAGGCCACCTGCGTTTTCCCTCGCTGGATTGAATATTGTTGACCAGTGAAAACTTGCGGCATCCACCACAGACTCAACATGGGATAACAACACAAATCTTCAACACCATCAAACAAAAAGAAACAGAGCAAAAAAGGTAAGCAGCGTTTGGCCGTCGCTTTCCTTACGTAAACATGGTTCGCTACATGGCTGGCCGGTTGATACACCCACAACAAAAACACGTATGAGCCTTCGGAGGTCTGCAAACGTACTAGTCCAAGTGGTTCAGTGGATAACATCCTCTTAAAGCTGCACGCAGCGCATATCTTGCTGGGGACAAACACCATGCCTCACAGCCTTGCGGCTTCATTCGCTGACAGCTGAATAGCTGAAACTCACTATTGTTGTTGCTTTCGCGAGGGTTGATGTCAGCTGTCCTCACAGCCCCAGGGCGTCGTTCCAAGACAAGGCTGCCCAGTGAAACGGACACGTCTGATCAGCCAAGAAGAAGTAACTCATTCACTCAAAGCCGACGTTTGGCTCTTGGGTTTCCGTGTTTGTCCTGGTTGGGTCAGGATCCGGCGAGAGAGCAATTGGAGGCGCCTCAATGGCACAGGTCCCGGTTGACAAGGATTTTGCCCTTCCAAATTGCCCAGATACCTTAGTTTGTATGAGCAAGTACCAAATTGTTGGTGCTCTACTGTTGGCTTGGGGACAGAAAACCCAAGTTTCCCTCAACCACAAATGGGTAACACTAGCACATGGACCCCAATAATGCCCAACCCAATTTCCTGGGAAATCTCCAAATCTGCGCAAATTGTACCTATTGGTTTGGCATGTTACTCAATTTGTAACCCAATGAACCCTTCTCAACTTGGGGAACAAATCTGGTTGTCCGTGTCATATCAGTGTTGTGACCGTGCGTTGACCAGGCTGTGAAATCAGACCCGGTGACACGCTGGTGAAGGCAGGAGTGCCTGCACTGCTGTCCCTGCAATGCAGCTTGCAACGTGATGCTTGTTGAAGTGCGACCACGGCTTGTATCAATCACTAAGCCGGATACGAGATGAAGTTGCTTTTTGAACTGGGGCAACTATTGATGCACGCATGCGGACACAGAGGCATGCCTTCCTTTTTGCATGTATGCATGCCCTTACGGCATGTATTTCGCAACATACATGTACATATGCAGGCACATCAAACAGCCACAAACAGACACAGACACACATGCATACAACATACAGCCAGGCAGACAGGCAAACTGATTGCTGGTTGGTTGACTGGATGGATGGATGAATGTACGGGGTATGAGTCATGCAATCAATCAATCAATCAATCAATCAATCAATCAATCAATCAATCAATCATTCAATCAATCAATCAATCAATCAATCAATCAATCAATCAATCAATCAACCCATCAATGGACGAACCCATATATCTATGGATCTACCTATCTACCTATCTACCTATCTACCTATCTACCTATCTACCTATGTACCTATCTATATATCTGTTTATCTCTCTATCTATCTACATATCAATCTATCTGTCTGTCTGTCTGTCTATCTATCTATTTGTCTGTCTGTCTGTCTGTCTGTCTATTCATCTATCTATCTATCTATCTATCTATCTATCTATCTATCTATCTATCTAATCTATCTATCTATCTATCTATCTATCTATCTATCTATCTATCTATCTATCTATCTATCTATCTATCTATCTGTCAACAATGCAAACAAGCAAGCAAGCAAGCAATCAAGCAAGCAAGCAAGCAAGCAAGCAAGCAAGCAAGCAAGCAAGCAATTAAGCAAGGTATCAGAATGGTAGTCATCCTTTCGTTTTGCCCTTCAACCCAACCTCAAACGAGTACCCTTAAAACAACCACCTAGCCCAAGTTTGCATGCTGGTTTCCATGGGATGATGTAATATCCTAATATCCACTCCGAGGTGCTAAAGCAAAGCTGAAGATTTGCATAGGGATGTGGGTCAAAACCAATGGTACCATTTTGGGGAAGGTGCACCACCCATTTAAGTCTATTTTAGTGGGGATTGGGATGTTCAACTGACGATTTGGATTTTGACCCATGGCCATATACTATACTGACACATGATTTCAGCCCCGTATTTGTGTTTCGCCGAGGTGAATGGCCAAGGGGAGCGCCTGGAGAGGATGACTGTGGAGCTCAGCAAGTGCTGAGCTGAGCGAGTCGAGAGCAAGTCGTTTCCCATGTGGCGCCCGTATCAATTCGTTTCGTTTGGTAGCTTTCCGTCCAATCAAAATGGAACTTACTGACCAGTTTCTGACAAATAACTTGTTTGGACTGGTTTGGCACGTCCACTCAAGTGAGGGAATCAGCCCAGAAAAAGGTTCCGATTGAATTTGTTGGGGTGTCTGAACTGGATGCGGGAGACCTGTGTGCTTTTCAACCGCTGTGTTGTTGGGGTTTTGTTTGGATTCCGTTTAGAGTGGTTGTATTTTGAGGGGGGTTGGATTTGCTTCTGGTGGTGGTTTCCGTTGGCAACCACTTAAAGGGAAACTCGGATGTTATAGGACACTTGAATGTCCCGACCTTGAAATGCACCCGACATGAATCCATGTGGTTCTCTCGTAGCCACTGAAGGTCTTTCTCAGGCGGTCAGCCCGAAACTTCCACGCATGGCCTCAGGTTCTATGTGCTTTGCGAGTTCAAGCCAGCAGAGCCCCGGGAAAGCTGGAGCCCACAGCCATTTCACTGGTTGGACGACAGGGCAGGGTGTGGGGATCTTTTGGGGTCTCCAATATCACTGGAAGGTTCACTGACTCCGAATCTGTCAAATATCTTCCCAAGCCCCGGGCTCTTCCAGGGTGAATGATTCAAATGAAGGCTCTCAGGAAAAACCTAAGTTTGACTTTGCCCTGCAATGTTTGATGTGTTGCTTCTGTTTTCTGCTGAACTTGATGTTCATGTGGATTCCTAGCAGACAGAAATTGGGGTTGGAATAGAAAAGGAACCTCACACCCAGAAATGCTCTTGAACCTCGCTTTCCAAAGCTGTGTCACATTTTAGGGTAGTCTGTAGACATGACTAATGGAATCCGAAGCACATAGTTGTTCTGTGTACCCCAGATTGGGGCCAAGAAAGTATGGCTTGGATTGTCCACTTCGTACCTTGCTAACTCCTGTATTCCAATCTCATCCTACTACGGTTGACGCGAGGGCACCCACAGGGCGGGTTGATCCATTCTGCTGGCTATCCGCAAATCTATTGGCCACTAAATCTCCCATCACTTGTTACTTTTCCGAATGGAACTACAAGGAGGTTGTTTCTTATAGTTGCGTGTTCGTTTGATCGCCAGTTTATTTGTGAATTCACCAGCTATCCTGTTGCATACGTAGAATAGTCCAAATGTTGACCGAATGTGATGCTGTTGTATGGCGGCTCCTTGTATAACCTAACACAGACAAGACGACAGAGACTCGGACCAGGACGCTCGTGGACTGGTTTGCCCATGTTCCATCCCTTGCGGAATGCTTTTGACAAGTACTGGTGACAACTGGAGGCTGTGTTCCGAAGGGGTCCTGTTGTTTTCATTTTCCGGGGACCAAGTTCTTGGATTTGTTGACTTGTGGGCATACCTGGGTTTATCTTCAGATGAAAATACCAGCGGACCCCAGCCATTTAATCTGCAAAAGAAACAGGGATTCGGGGGTATGTGTGTTTTCGATGGTATGCCTTTCCCTCTTGGCCTACAGAGAAAGCAGAAGGAAAGCCACCATGTTTGGGCTTCCCCAGTTTTGACACATGCGCATGTGTTTTGACCGTTCTCGGGGCTTTGAATATGGAAGGACGCCTTCGCTGGGAGCTGCAACTTTATCATCGGTTTAATTTCGAAACTCGACCTCAGTTTGCAACTCATGGAGACGAAAAGGTTCAACACTCATGATAGATACATAGATAGATAGGTTGGTTGGTTGGTTGGTTGGTTTGTTGGTTGGTTGGTGGTTGGTTGGTTGGTTGGTTGGTTGGTTGGTTGGTTGGTAGATAAACACATACACAGGCCATGGAGATAGCCAAGCTGAAAAGGATGATGCAAAGATATTGTATCAACCTTAGGCAGTGTACGAGTTCATGGTCATTTTGGCACGTACCCTGAAATGTGCCTTGCTTGCCCACTACGCATTGACACGTTGACCTTTGCTTTTCCGTGTTGGTCCATTTCGAGTCAAGACTGTACAAGGTGAACCTGCAATTCCATGATGTCTCCCATAACTTTGAGCAGTCGAGGAGAGGGGTCAACCTAAACAATATACAAGAGGCACATGACCCCACAATTTGATGGCCTGTTTGTTTCTGCTGCAAGCACCATGCTGGTATCCCCTCATGTATGAAAGCCTTTCAGTTTTTGTTTTTGCGCCTTTCTTCTGCAGGTGCCGGTTTCAGCCGCTTTTTGGTTGGGTTCAATTTAGAAAAACAAAAAAACATTCGGTGCCTTCGAGTGAGTCCCTGACCCCTTCGCCGAAGTTCGAGGTGCTGGCGCCCAGGCCCCCGGGGACGGCTGATGGCAGGTTTTGAGTGCTCAGCTCGGCAAGCCCTGCCATCCATTTGGTTCCTTAGGCTCGCTGGATGCCATAGGTCTGCTTTGTGAGTTCTTAGCCATGCCCCAAGATCAGTTTCTGGCGGTGTTTGGTTTCGTGCGCGACATGTGTGTAGCATGAGTCCCCATCAATGCCTCTTGATCGATTCGACGTAGGACTGTAACCTGGTGAAACTGGCTGATGTGGGTTTGTCTCCTGGGAGCCCCCCCCCGCAAATATCGGGCTGCCTTTATACCAGCCCACACAAAAACACGACACCTATTGAACCGGAGGGGACCCCCAAACGTTTGTTTTCGTGGTGGTGTCCTTTACACCATCCAACACGCTCGATGAATCGGAACACGCATCTTGCTGTTTCTCGAAAGGGGCTCAGGGTTTTGGGTACGAACCTAGGGTGCCCCTTGATGGTTCCAGGTCAGTGCAACTCAGTCCCGGAATCTGAGAGCCGAGTCCAACATAGCCTTTAGGTGTCGTCCAGCAATCCAAATTTCCCAAAGCGAGGCAGGCGACACGGGTCCTTCCACTGCACCACTTGACCCGACTTTGCCCACTTTCAGATTCTTTGAGAGGCTGCCGAAGGATGCTTGATCCTTCTGATCCTTCTCTAGCATTCACAAGTGGCATGCATCGACCTTTTGCAAAAGGGCATCTGAACATATTCTTATCTTGGTGGCTCCCAGCCATCCCCTTAGCCTTCTAGACTTTTAGTGTTTAGTGGGGGTTTCCATTTGACCCACTAAAAGTTCAACTTTTAGCAGGGCATGTGCGGGCAGCCCAGTTATTACAGCTCCAGAAGTCCAATGGACTCGCTCCGACCAACGGCCGTCCGAGCCGCGGCTTTGCGCAGGCGGCTTCGGCGCCGGCTTCGGCTTCGCCGAAGGCCGAGCCAGCGAAGGTGTCGGCAAAGGGCGAGGCCGCTGTCAGCGGGGGCGAGGGGGGGGGGTGGTTGGGGGTTGACATAAAATATATTTTGGTGGACGAACAAATCCACAAAAGGCACCAGTAGATGAAACCCGAGTTGAACTAATGGTTGATATAACCACCAGTGCCGTGGCTTGTACAGGGTTTTGTCCATACACAGCATGTGCCATGGTCAAGACACTCCTTGAGTGGGCTTAGGACGTTCTTGCACCTCATAAGCAAGTTAGACAAGAGCTTGTAAGGGAGCCATGACCATGCACAGTCATCTTAAGGCAAATCCTGCGATGGCATGAATGCCCTGTGCACGTCTCTGTGGGGGGGGGGGGTCGGGGGGGCTTTTTCAGGTCAAAGGTTCTCCCTGAGTTCCTGGACAACATCGCAAAACTCAAGGGTTGGTGACTTTTCTTGCCCGATCGACGCGGCATTGTTTTGGTTGATGTATGGTATTGGTCTGGCAAAGTTGTACATGGAAGCTCCCGGGAGCTCCCTCCCCCCCGCCCCCATTGGTAAATATTGTCTGATATTTATCCATAAATAGTGCACTTAGGGTCGGAATTCATCTTCGGTATTCTTTGGTTCTGGTCCAAACATGGGCTCCCTCCCCTTTTCCCGGACACGAAAAGCGTCAAAATCACAATTTCAGTTAACATTTAGATGTATAATTGAATATAAAAATAAAGCTTAGTAACAAGTACATAAGATGTTTGTTTTTATGTCAATGTGCTGGAATACCCCCTAACAAGGCTGGAGCTTTAGTGGTGGTTTGGAATTAACCTTGTAACAGTTTCATTGTTCACCCGGCGGTTTGGGGAGCTTTGGGAACAATGTTTAATTGATAAGCCGCATTTCTTAAAAGTGGGAGGCGATTCTTCATGTGGATGTGGCTCACAAGTAAACATATGAGGTTACGCAGGTTTTAGTCTACCTTTCCATTTACCAGGGTTCCATTTTGGACCCCTATTTTCTTGGTGGTTCCCAGCCATCCCCTTAGCTTTCAGCCTTTTAGTGTTTAATTAGTGGGGATGTCCATTTCACCCACTAAAAGTTAAGCTTCTAGCGGGGGATCTGAGGACAGCCCAGTTTTTCAGCCTTACCCATGTGAACCTCAGGCCGAGTCTGAGGCCACCTCCGATCTCGTTGCACCGGCGACAGTGCAGGCGGGGAAGAGGGGGAGCATTTGACGTGAAACCAAACGGACGAAGATGCCATTTGAAGAGACCCCTACTTTGAAAAGCTCCTGTTTGCTTTTGATCTGCCGATTGCTCACCGAAAAGAAAGGCAAAATGAGCTCACCACGATGCAGGTCCTTTGCTTCAAGGTTCAATTCTTAGTTCAGGGATTTGAGTTATTGTAAATTATGTTTGCAGATAGTATGACTTTTGACTGTTCCGGTGCTCTAGATTGACGTTCCCCTGTAAACTCACTAAAGCTAAGGCTGGCCTTTTTTTGTTATGGCCACAGGGGGCCCCGGGGCTCTTTAGAAGATCAAATCATTTGGTTTTCGCATGTTGGTGGTCAAGTCCCTAAGTCCCTCATTGCCCTGACTGTAAGGGTGCAAGTGCCTTCTAAGGAGGTATGTTGGCCCATGTTCATGCTCAACAACCGTCCTAAGGGACCCTCTTCGTGAATGGATGGGGTTCTACATCAGATATTCCCAGTCTTTGCCTTCCAGGCAGACGCAAAGCCGTCTCCGGCCATCGCGCAGGCCGGGGGCAGGGCCCGGATTTGAGTCTGACTCTTGATCCATACCTTCGTTTGTGAAAGAGGCACAGCCAAAGGAGTCCGGAATGAATTTGCGCATACGTCGACCCCCTTCCCCCAGCGTGCCGTTCGGAGGATGCCTGGCTCAGTGGGGCTGCGGCCCTTGAACCCGTTTTGCCACCGATTGGGACGGCGCGTTGAAGGGGGCCAACGAAGCTAAACTTGCAGCAAATTTCCGCCAGGAGGTTCCGCCTGCAGCGAGAGAGATCGAGGCTTGGTTGTTGTCAGTCAAAAATACTCCAATGACTAACCCATGCATCACCCCAGGCATTTAACTTCTACAATCTACGCCATTCCCCAGGAAAGTTGTTTGCAACATCCTGACTCCAGAGAACGAAGGATGCTCAACATTGAAGCTTGCCCATGCAAATGAGTGTGAAACCTATTTTTCCGAGTTGCCCCCCTGAAGTTATGACTGCTGAATCCAAACTTCTCAAAACTGGATTGTGGTTCAGGATTGAGGATGTTTTTGGGTGACCATTGGGAGCCAACTTGAATCCTTGAGTGTCCCTCACAAAATGTGTATATATAAAGAGAGCGAGCTAGTGAGATTTCTAAATACCCGCATTTAGAGTCTTAGATCCATGAATGCTCCGCCCCCGAACACTACATAGCGGTATTTAGATTTCCAAAAACCATATTTAGATCCTGGAACTGTAGAGGGACATTGGATCCATGAATCGTCCCCCCCAGAAATCTAAGCAGTGTAGTTAGGCTTCTAAATACCGTTATTTAGGTTCTGGATCCAAGATTGCTGAGGACTATTGGGGAAAATATTGGATCCATGAATGCCCCCCCCCAAATCTAATTACTGGAATTTTGAAATCTAAATGCCGGCATTTAGAAATCTACATACCAGTATTTGGAATTTCTTGAGTGTCATTCATGGATCCAAGTCTCTTCGAAAAACACTCCCCAAATCTTGGATCTTGGTTCCCGGGGCTAAACCGGTATTTAGAATTCTGCGACCCCTTTCTTGCCTTGTTTTTCATTCGCTTGTCAAGCCGCAAAACATGGCTAACATACAGAGACATGTGGGCACCAGGGGGATGGGTGGGGGGGGCAAGGTTTTAAGACTTCTAACTCACTTGCCCAAAGCGAATCGACCTTTTAACCTTTTGGTTTTCCTACTTTGGTCCATTTTTAGTACAGGTCCCAAAAGGAACCTTTTGTTTCCAGGTACTTTGGGCAAGTGAGCTAATGTTGCTTGAATCAGTGAAAGGCAAAGGCCCATTCACCTACCTACCTACTTTTTGCAGGCATCCCTCGTAAATCGATCCCCAAACAGGGAACCAGCCCAGATAAGTGCAACCCTCCGGAGAATACAGGCTGGCATCAACTATTTGCTGTGACTACCATCATGATCACTATCATTATGAATATTATTATGATTCTGACTTACATATATGTGTACATATGTATATATGGTACCAGCGCAAGATCGAAACATGTTCTGTAGGGTTGAAGGCTTCGGATGTGCCAGCCAAGTCCCGGATGCACAGTGGATTGGCCCAAATTGAGACGGGTCCCGGTGCCAGCATCCATGGGGAAACTCGGTGACTGGCCGCATTGATCAAGGAGCTGCAAAGTGGTTAGCGTCACAACAGATTATCTACGGTTATGCAAATGGATCCACGTTCCACATGATTGACATATGCTTGACTTGCATTGGAAGGTGATGAATGAATTGAAGGTGTCTAATCTTGCTCTTGCCGCGCAAGGCTACAGAGGCGCCAAAGCCGCTTGCGTCCATGGACTCTCCAAAGGCGTGCAGCGCGAGTCAGTTGATGCTAGGCTGTGTCACGTCTGCTTCGTGCTGGGAGGGGTCCCTGCCACCCAAAAGTGTAAAGAGTTCCCCTGCAGTTCTGTGCCCTTTCCAATGTTTTTGTTTTGTTGACGGAAATTCATCCGAATATGGGTAGCTCCATTCATTGAAGGTTTTCGCTTGTTTTTAACACCGCTGACCGAACATACCACCTGCTTGGGCCGTTCCCTTGCCGCGCAAGGCGACAGAGGCGCCAAAGCCGCTTGCATCCATGGACTCTCCAAAGGCGTGCAGCGCGAGTCAGTTGGTGCTAGGCTGTGTCAGGTCTGCTTCGTGCTGGGAGAGGTCCCTCCCCCCCCAAAGTGTAAAGAGAGAAGAGTGTAGTTGACCAGATCCCCTGCAGTTCTGTGCCCTTTCCGCTGTTTTTCTTTTGTTGAGACGGAAACTGATGCGGATGTGGGTAGCTCCATTCATTCAACGTTTTCGGTTGGTTTGGCAGCGCTGAGTGAACATACCACCTGCTTGGGCCATTCCCTTGCCGCGCAAGGCGACAGAGGCGCCAAAGCCGCTTGCGTCCATGGACTCTCCAAAGGCGTGCAGCGCGAGTCAGTTGGTGCTAGGCGTGTGTTATGTCTGCTTCGTGCTGGGAGAGGTCCCTCCCCGCCCAAAGTGTAAAGATAGAAGAGTGTAGTTGACCAGATTCCCTGCAGTCCTGTGCCCTTTCCGCTGTTTTTCTTGTTGAGACGGAAACTGATGCGAATGTGGGTAGCTCCATTCAGTGAACATACCACCTTTTTGGGCCATTTGTTTGCCGCGCAAGGCGACAGAGGCGCCAAAGCCGCTTGCGTCCATGGAGTCTCCAAAGGCGTGCAGCGCGGAGTTGGTGCTAGGCTGTGTCAGGTCTGCTTGCTGGGGCAGCAAGTGGACATGCTTGCCGCTTCACCCAAAAGTGTAAAGAGAGAAGAGCGTAGTTGACCAGGTCTTCTGCAGGTGTTTGCTTTTGTTGGGAGGGCCGTTGTCATGGTCAACACAGTGTTGTAAGACCTTCCATGGCACAAGAGCAGCAGAGACATGCCCCATGCGCATTGTTTTTCTGCCTATGTCCAGAACCTTGGAGGTCAAATTGTGAGAATGAGTGCCGCCAAATGTTTTGAAGATCGGTCTCGGAATTCAGCCCCCTTTTGGAGCCGGTCGCTTGCCGCGCAAGGCTGCAGAGGCGCCAAAGCCGTTTGCATCGATGGACTCGCCAAAGGCGTGCTGCATGAGTCAGTTGGGTGGAAGAATTTGGTGCTCAGACGGGGCTGTTTGCAGTTTCGTGTTCTATGTTTTGTTTTTGGCTGGAAGGGCAACAGCTGTGTGCACATGTTCATTTGAGCGGTCTGGTGGCAAGGCTGAGGGGGCAACATGGTGAGTTGAAATTTGCTGGCATAGCATCAGAAGACAGACATGTGCCATTCAGAAGCCTCATGATGGGTTTTCCTGCCCACCCGGAACCTAACGCAAGGTTCAGCTTTGGCAGACATGTGTTCATTGGAAAGACGTTCTTGACTTGATGTGAGATAGGGGGGCACTTTCAATCCCTTTGCTTCTTCGTATCGCAAACAAATGTGTTTTGCCATTTGTGCGGGCTAGTTCGCAGCGTGAATATACCCCAGCTTCTGAGTTGCACACTGACTTGAAGTGGATGGACATCCAAGAGCTGTTAGTCGAACCATGGCTACCCCCCCCTCCGGTTGATCCGTGTTGCGTCAATTGTTTGTCATCTTATTGCTGCCATTTGCATGATGAAGTCTGTTTAATAATTTTGCGCCCTGTCTCCCATGTGCTTGCCACGCAAGATTGCAGTGGTACAAACTGTTTTTTGCGTCGACGGACTCCCCAAACACCTGCAGCGTCAGTCAGTTGGCGCTGCGTCTTGTTGCAACGATCCGCCTCAGTTCCTTTGTTTGTGGTGTTTTTGTCGTCGAGGGAACTGTTGTGGATGAGGCTAGCCCTCATTTATTGAGACTTGCCAGCGGTTTGCCAGCGGTGAGGGGGTAGCACAGAGTTATCAAGCGTTTTCTGTCAAAAGAAGTGTCAGGAGAGCTTTTGTGCGCCATCTTGGTGATTTCTATTCCTGCCCAGCCCAGAAGCTGAGGGAAGGTTGAAATGGCGAAGCAAACAATATGTTCTAACGGCCATCTGCACGTAAACACACTTTGGCAGCCTACTTGGGCCATTCGCTTGCCGCGCAAGGCTGCAGAGGCGCCAAAGCCGTTTGCATCGATGGCCTCGCCAAAGGCGTGCTGCAGGAGTCAGTTGGGTGGAAGAATTTGGTGCTAAGACGGGCCGTCTGCAGTTTCGCTCCGTTCTATGTTCTGTTTTTGGCTGGAAGGGAATAGCTGTATCTCATGTTCATTTGAGCGGTCTGGTGACAAGGCTGAGTCCAGAGGCTGAGGGAAGGTTGAAATGGCGAAGCATACGGTATCTTCCAACAGCCATCTGCACGTAAACACACTTTGGCATCCTACTTGGGCCATTTGCTTACCGCGCAAGGCTGCAGAGGCGCCAAAGCCGTTTGCATCGATGGCCTCGCCAAAGGCGTGCTGCAGGAGTCAGTTGGGTGGAAGAATTTGGTGCTAAGACGGGCCGTCTGCAGTTTCGCTCCGTTCTATGTTCTGTTTTTGGCTGGAAGGGAATAGCTGTATCTCATGTTCATTTGAGCGGTCTGGTGACAAGGCTGAGGGGTCAACATGGTGATTTGAGCTTTGCTGGCATAGCATCAGAAGAAAGACATGTGCCATTCAGAAGCTTCACCATGGGTTTTCCTGCCCCGCAACCTAACGCAAGGTCCAGCTGTGGCAGACATGTGTTCATTGGAAAGACCTTCTTGACTTGATGTGAGATAGGGGGCACTTTCAATCCCTTTGCTTCTTCGTATCGCAAGCACATGTGTTTTGCTGTTATTTGTGCGGGCTAGTTCGCAGCGTGAATATACTGCCCCACCTTCTGAGTTTCACACTGACTTGAAGTGGATGGATACATCGCTTGACAAAAGCTGTTATTCGAAGCGTGGAACCCCCCCCCCCCCTCCCCGGTTGATCCGTGTTGCGTCAATTGTTTGTCATCCTTGCTGCCATTTGCACGATGACTTCTTTCAGTGATTTTGCGCCCTATCTGAGCCATGTGCTTGCCACGCAAGATTGCTGTGGTACCAAACTTTGTTTGCGTCGAAAGACTCCCCAAACTCCTGCAGCGTGAGTCAGTTGGCGCTGCGTCTTGTTGCAACGATCCGCCTCAGTTCCGTGCTGTGGGTTTTTTGTTTGTGTTTTCGTTGGTGGGGCAACTGTTGTGGATGAGGCTAGCCCTCATTTATTGAGAGTTGCCAGCTGGTTTGCCAGCGGTGAGGTGGTAGCACAGCGTTAGGCATTTTCCAGCATAAGAAGTGTCAGGAGAGCTGTTGTGCGTCATCTTGGTGATTTCTATTCCTGCCCAGCCCAGAAGCTGAGGGAAGGTTGAAATGACGAAGCACACGGTATCTTGCAACGGCCATCTGCACGTAAACACACTTTGGCATCCTACTTGGTCCATTTGCTTGCCGCGCAAGGCTGCAGAGGCGCCAAAGCCGTTTGCATCGATGGCCTCGCCAAAGGCGTGCTGCAGGAGTCAGTTGGGTGGAAAAATTTGGTGCTAAGACGGGCCGTCTGCAGTTTCGCTCCGTTCTATGTTTTGTTTTGGGCTGGAAGGGAATAGCTGTATCTCATGTTCATTTGAGCGGTCTGGTGACAAGGCTGAGGGGTCAACATGGTGATTTGAGCTTTGCTGGCATAGCATCAGAAGAAAGACATGTGCCATTCAGAAGCTTCACCATGGGTTTTCCTGCCCCGCAACCTAACGCAAGGTCCAGCCGTGGCAGACATGTGTTCATTGGCAAGACGTTCTTGACTTGATGTGAGATAGGGGCCACTTTCAAACCCTTTGCTTCGTCGTATCGCAAACACATGTGTTTTGCGTTATTTGTGCGGGCTAGTTCGCAGCGTGAATATACTGCCCCACCTTCTGAGTTGCACACTGACCTGAAGCGGATGGATATCGCTTGACAAAAGCTGTTGTTCGAAGCGCGGCAATCCTTCCGTTAATCTGTGTTGCGTCAATTGTTTGTCAGCTTTCAGCTGCCATTTGCATGATGTCTTTCAGTGATGTTGCGCCCTATCTGAGCCATGTGCTTGCCACGCAAGATTGCTGTGGTACCAAACTTTGTTTGCGTCGAAAGACTCCCCAAACTCCTGCAGCGTGAGTCAATTGGCGCTGCGTCTTGTTGCAACGATCCGACTCAGTTCCGTGCTGGGTTGTTTGTTTGTGTTTTCGTTGGTGGGGCAACTGTTGTGGATGAGGCTAGCCCTCATTTATTGAGAGTTGCCAGCTGGTTTGCCAGCGGTGAGGGGGTAGCACAGCGTTGTCAGGCGTTTTCCGGCATAAGAAGTGTCAGGAGAGCTGTTGTGCGTCATCTTGGTGATTTCTATTCCTGCCCAGCCCAGAAGCTGAGGGAAGGTTGAAATGCAACGGCCATCTGCACCTAAACACACTTTGGCAGCCTACTTGGGCCATTCGCTTGCCGCGCAAGGTTGCAGAGGCGCCAAAGCCGTTTGCATCGATGGACTCGCCAAAGGCGTGCTGCAGGAGTCAGTTGGGTGGAAGAATTTGGTGCTAAGACGGGCCGTCTGCAGTTTCGCTCCGTTCTATGTTTTGTTTTGGCTGGAAGGGAATAGCTGTATCTCATGTTCATTTGAGCGGTCTGGTGACAAGGCTGAGGGGTCAACATGGTGATTTGAGCTTTGCTGGCATAGCATCAGAAGAAAGACATGTGCCATTCAGAAGCTTCACCATGGGTTTTCCTGCCCCGCAACCTAACGCAAGGTCCAGCTGTGGCAGACATGTGTTCATTGGAAAGACCTTCTTGACTTGATGTGAGATAGGGGGCACTTTCCATCCCTTTGCTTCTTTGTATCGCAAACACACGTGTTTTGCTTCTTTTTTTTTGCGGGCTAGTTCGCAGCGTGAATATACTGCCCCACCTTCTGAGTTGCACACTGACTTGAAGTGGATGGATACATCGCTTGACATAAGCTGTTGTTCGAAGCGCGGCAATGCCCCCGCCCCCCCCGTTAATCTGTGTCGCGTCAATTGTTTGCCAGCTTCCAGCTGCCATTTGCATGATGTGTTTCAGTGATTTTGCGCCCTATCTGAGCCATGTGCTTGCCACGCAAGATTGCTGTGGTACCAAGCTTTGTTTGCGTCGAAAGACTCCCCAAACTCCTGCAGCGTGAGTCAGTTGGCGCTGCGTCTTGTTGCAACGATCCGACTCAGTTCCGTGCTGGGTTGTTTGTTTGTGTTTTCGTTGGTGGGGCAACTGTTGTGGATGAGGCTAGCCCTCATTTATTGAGAGTTGCCAGCTGGTTTGCCAGCGGTGAGGGGGTAGCACAGCGTTGTCAGGCGTTTTCTGGCATAAGAAGTGTCAGGAGAGCTGTTGTGTGTCATCTTGGTGATTTCTATTCCTGCCCAGCCCAACACACTTTGGCAGCCTACTTGGGCCATTCGCTTGCCGCGCAAGGCTGCAGAGGCGCCAAAGCCGTTTGCATCGATGGACTCGCCAAAGGCGTGCTGCAGGAGTCAGTTGGGTGGAAGAATTTGGTGCTAAGACGGGCCGTCTGCAGTTTCGCTCCGTTCTATTTATTTTTTTTGGCTGCAAGGGAATAGCTGTATCTCATGTTCATTTGAGCGGTCTGGCGACAAGGCTGAGGGGTCAACATGGTGATTTGAGCTTTGCTGGCATAGCATCAGAAGAAAGACATGTGCCATTCAGAAGCTTCACCATGGGTTTTCCTGCCCCGCAACCTAACGCAAGGTCCAGCTGTGGCAGACATGTGTTCATTGGAAAGACGTTCTTGACTTGATGTGAGATAGGGGGCACTTTCAATCCCTTTGCTTCTTCGTATCGCAAACACATGTGTTTTGCGTTATTTGTGCGGGCTAGTTCGCAGCGTGAATATACTGCCCCACCTTCTGAGTTGCACACTGACTTGAAGTGGATGGATACATCGCTTGACAAAAGCTGTTGTTCGAAGCGCGGCAATCCCTCCCCCGTTAATCTGTGTTTGTCAGCTTCCAGCTGCCATTTGCATGATCATGTTTTTCAGTGATTTTGCACGCTATTTCAGCCATTTGCTTGCCACGCAAGATTGCAGTGGTACAAGTTTGTTTTCGTCGACGGACTCACCAAAGACTCACTTATTGAGAGTTGCCAGCTGGTTTGCCAGCGGTGAGGGGGAAACACAGCGTTGTCAAGGGTTTTGCGGCATAAGAAGTGTCAGCACAGCTTTTGTGCGTCATCTTGGTGCTTTCTATTCCTGCCAAGCCCAGAAGCTGAGGGAAGGTTGAAATGGCGAAGCACACGGTATCTTGCAACGGCCATCTGCACCTAAACACACTTTGGCAGCCTACTTGGGCCATTCGCTTGCCGCGCAAGGTTGCAGAGGCGCCAAAGCCGTTTGCATCGATGGACTCGCCAAAGGCGTGCTGCAGGAGTCAGTTGGGTGGAAGAATTTGGTGCTAAGACGGGCCGTCTGCAGTTTCGCTCCGTTCTATGTTTTGTTTTGGCTGCAAGGGAATAGCTGCATCTCATGTTCATTTGAGCGGTCTGGCGACAAGGCTGAGGGGTCAACATGGTGATTTGGGCTTTGCTGGCATAGCATCAGAAGAAGGACATGTGCCATTCAGAAGCTTCACCATGGGTTTTCCTGCCCCGCAACCTAACGCAAGGTCCAGCTGACTTGATGTGAGATAGGGGGCACTTTCAATCCCTTTGCTTCTTCGTATCGCAAACACATGTGTTTTGCGTTATTTGTGCGGGCTAGTTCGCAGCGTGAATATACTGCCCCACCTTCTGAGTTGCACACTGACTTGAAGTGGATGGATACATCGCTTGACAAAAGCTGTTGTTCGAAGCGCGGCAATCCCTCCCCCGTTAATCTGTGTTTGTCAGCTTCCAGCTGCCATTTGCATGATCATGTTTTTCAGTGATTTTGCACGCTATTTGAGCCATTTGCTTGCCACGCAAGATTGCAGTGGTACAAGTTTGTTTTCGTCGACGGACTCACCAAACACTCACTTATTGAGAGTTGCCAGCTGGTTTGCCAGCGGTGAGGGGGGAACACAGCGTTGTCAAGGGTTTTGCGGCATAAGAAGTGTCAGCACAGCTTTTGTGCGTCATCTTGGTGCTTTCTATTCCTGCCCAGCCCAGAAGCTGAGGGAAGGTTGAAATGGCGAAGCATACAATATGTTCCAACGGCCATCTGCACCTAAACACACTTTGGCAGCCTACTTGGGCCATTTGCTTGCCGCGCAAGGCTGCAGAGGCGCCAAAGCCGTTTGCATCGATGGCCTCGCCAAAGGCGTGCTGCATAAGTCAGTTGGGTGGAAGAATTTGGTGCTAAGACGGGCCGTCTGCAGTTTTGCTCCGTTCTATGTTCTGTTTTTGGCTGGAAGGGCAACAGCTGATTGGATATAGCTCATGTTGATTTGAGCGGTCTGGTGGCAAGGCTGAGGGGGGAACATGCTGATTTGTGTTTTGCTGGCATAGCATCAGAAGACAGACATGTGCCATCTAGAAGCTTCACGATGGGTTTTCCTCGCCACCCGGAACCTAACGCCTGTGGCAGACATGTGTTCATTGAAAAGACATTCTTGACTTGATGTGAGATAGGGGGCACTTTCAAACCCTTTGCTTCGTCGTATCGCAAACACATGTGTGTTGCCTTTTTTTGCGGGCTAGGCGGCAGCGTGAATATACTGCCCCAGCTTCTGAGTTGCACACTGACCTCAAGTTGATGGATAATTGCATCGCTTGACAAAAGCTGTTATTCGAAGCACGGCAACCCCCCTCCGCTCCGGTTGATCCGTGTTGCGCCAATTGTTTGTCATCTTCTTGCTGCCATTTGCGTGATGATGTCAGTTTAATGATTTTGCGCCGTGTCATGTGGTTGCCACGCAAGATTGCAGTGGTACAAACTTGGCTGGGCGTCGACGGACTCCCCAAACACCTGCAGCGTCAGTCAGTTGGCGCTGTGTCTGGTTGCAACGATCCGCCTTAGTTCCGTGCTGCGTGGTTGTTTGTTTGTTGTGTTTTCGTTGGCGGGGCAACTGTTGTGGATGAGGCTAGCCCTCATTTATTGACAGTTGCCAGCTGGTTTGCCAGCGGTGAGGGGGAAACACAGCGTTGTCAAGGGTTTTGCAGCATAAGAAGTGTCAGGACAGCTTTTGTGCGTCATCTTGGTGCTTTCTATTCCTGCCCAGCCCAGAAGCTGAGGGAAGGTTGAAATGGCGAAGCATACAATATGTTCCAACGGCCATTTGCACCTAAACACACTTTGGCATCCTACTTGGGCCATTTGCTTGCCGCGCAAGGCTGCAGAGGCGCCAAAGCCGTTTGCATCGATGGCCTCGCCAAAGGCGTGCTGCATAAGTCAGTTGGGTGGAAGAATTTGGTGCTAAGACGGGGCTGTCTGCAGTTTCGAGCCGTGCCATGTTTTGTTTGTGGCTGGAAGGGCAACCGCTGTGGATACAGATCATGTTGATTTGTCAGACAAGGCTGAGGGCGCAACATGATGTTGATTTTTTTTTGCGACATGCGCCATTCAGAAGCTTCACGATGGCTTTTCCTGCCCACTCGGAATCTAACGCAAGGTCCAACCGTTACAGACATGTGTTCATTGGAAGGACGTTCTTGACTTGATGTGAGATAGGGAGCACTTTCAAGACCTTTCGTTTTGCAAAACCATGTGTGTCGCCTTCTTTTTGCGGGCTAGGCGGCAGCGTGAATATACTGCCCCACCTTCTGAGTTGCACACTGACCTGAAGTGGATGGATACATCGCTTGACAACAGCTGTTATTCGAAGCATGGAACCCCCCTCCGCTCCGGTTGATCCGTGTTGCGCCAATTGTTTGTCATCTTCTTGCTGCCATTTGCATGATGATGTCTGTTTAATGATTTTGCATCCTGTTTGAGCCAATTAATTGCTTGTCACGCAAGATTGCGGTGGCTCCAAGGCCGTTTGCCGTTTGCGTCAACGGACTCTCACTTATTGAGAGTTGCCAGCTGGTTTGCCCGGCATAAGAAGTGTCAGGAGAGCTTTTGTGCGCCATCCCGACGCTTTGTGATTGCTTTGCGGGCAGGTTGAACTGGGGAAACGTGCGGCATCTTCCAACGGCCATCTGCATGTAAACCTTGGTCTTCGAAGGGCCCGCAAAAAACCGGGTCCTTCTTGATTTGGCTCTTGGTTGAAAATGGAAAATCAGCCAAAGGCTTGCTTTTTCATGGTCCTGGAAGACTTCAAGGTAAACATACCAGCGATGCCGCTGAATGGTTCGAGGGGGCTTCGACATTTCCTTGCCGCGCAAGGCTGAGGCGGAGCCGTTTGCGCCGATTGACTCCCCAAAGGCGTGCGATGTTGCTGAGATAGGAGGCCAAGTCGGCATCTGCAACCGGGTCCCTGCATTTCCGCGCCCTTTTCTGTTTTACCGACACCACACCAGCCGAAAGCAGGTCCCCTGCAGTTGCGTGGCTTGGGGATTTAACTCGCGGGTTTCTTCGGTATCAGCATGCCTTTCTGGCATGCATCAAGAGAAAGACAGATGCGAGTGCCTTCCAGCAGGTTTATCATGGCCTCTTTGCCCACATGGAACGAGATGTTTGAAGTCGCGACGCAAAAAAAAAGTCGCCGCCTTTCTGTTTTAGCATGTCTCATCATGATGGCCTCTTCCAACTGCCCATTTGTAGGGTGAACGTACTGTAGATGTCATTACTTCCCCAGAATTAGCTCCCTTGTTTTTTTTGGAGGGGGGGGGGGGGCGTTTTTGGGGTTCCTTTGTTTTCCACAAACCAGGCAGAAAAGATAACAGCCTAGATTAAGGGCCTCTAGTTTTGGCACCTGCTTTGAGAGCAATTCGTGTACATTGCCAGGCCAGAGAGGCGCCAAAGCCATTTGCGTCGATGGACTCTTCAAAGGCGTGCTGCGCGAGTCAGTGGGCGCCAGGGTGTATCGTATCGAATATGTTTTGCTGGAGCAGGAGACCCTTGCAACTGCGCACCCACGTCGCAAAAGTTTAAATACTCAAGAGTCTAGGTGCAAAGTGGTGAAAGTGGTTCCGTGCTGCTTTGTTGGCAGGGCAACCTCTGGAGTGTTGGGTAGCCCCCATTCAGTGGTTCCAGCTGGTGTAATCCCTTCCCCCTGATCAGAAAAGCCCCCCCCCGAGTAAAAAAGAAAACCAGCCGGCAAAGCATTTTTTTGTTTGCCGACAGCAAGCGGAAGGTCAAGTTGCAATGAGCACTGGAAATCGATCACAGAGTGCACGCAGAGGTGCCGATGCCAGTGCTATCAACCGGCCAGGCGGGTCTGGGGAGCCAGTTGCTCGGCCAGTTCTGTCGCACAAATCGCGAATTCCCTTGCGGGAGATTCCAAGTGTGAGGACGTCAAGAGCCTTGCCCATTTTTATGTTTGGAAGCTCAACATAGAGGCAACAAGCCCATGACCCTTGTTGTCTCCCGAGCCCGGAAAAAGGTAAAACATGACAGACGGGTCCCAAACGGATCCTTATTGGCCTGGTTTACGGGAAAGTCCTCTTTTTCCCAGATCCCAGTGATCGCAGTTGCCACTATTTGCCTGCCTCTTATGCTAGTTTTTGGCACACCCATCCTAGCCTTGGCCTCTAGGGTGCAGGGCGGAATGGGGCAATGGTGGAGGGACTACTGTCACCCCACACTTGCAGGGCCAGGTGTGTTCAAGGCCCACAGCTGTCTTGTATGAATGCGTTTTGCGCGCCTGTACGTGCTTTGGAGAGTTCATGACTGCTTGTGTGGGGTGGCCAGTCCGGCCCTTGACATCCAAAAAGGGAGGGTGGCTGTCGGAGGCTGCCCTGCGAGACCTGGTTTCTGTTGGCTGCAGAGCTTGCAGGTCGCTCCGTCCGTCCGTCCGTCCGTCCATCCATCCATCCACTTACCACTATATCAGGTAACCAGCTGTTTTTTGTGTTTAAAGGGCGGTTCCATTGGTTACAAGCGAAATGGAATCACGGGGTGTGGTCACCCCGGAACAACATGGTGATTCTTCGCATAGCGGGGATTTCTCACTCACTCTCGCGACCACTGGCTCAATTGCTTGAGGGTTGGTCAGTTTGACCAACCCTGATCCTCTGAAAGTCGCCCTATTGATGAAAGTGAGTTGTAAGAGTTCAAGGGACAACCTCTTCTTCGGGTACCCTTTTTGGTTGTTTAAACGGAAATCAGGGGAAGCATCATGTAAGTGCGGGGGTTCTACGAGACGAACCGAGATCCATGGGTTTTTCTGCTGGTTTGCCCGGATTTGAAAGCTACCGCAAGTTGGCAACATCATGTGTTTCTGGGTTTAGTTCTTCCCTTACTAAAGTCCTGCATTTGTGCAAGAGTATGTTTAGTTTTCCTTTGGTTTTAGAGCGAAGCTATCACTACACATTTTCAGGTTTTCCAGGGGAAGCAATTGGATGACATCTACCGGGATTTGTGCCGTCTGACTCCCGACTCGGCCAGGCCTCGCCAGGGAGATCCGTCGAAGCTTTCGAGGCAGGCTGCGGTCGGTCCGAGGAATCGTCGGGACGAGCTGTGATCGTGTTCCCTGGCCTTTCCTGAGTTGGGTTCCTGGACTTTAGTCACTGGACTTTTCCTCACTTGGGAAGACCGATGTAGTGTGAATTGCGAAACAGCTTGGGATTTGGCATATCGCCCTTGAACAAGCCTTTGTAAACTTGATTGCACAGAAGGCACTGTTTGTGTGTGGCTTGTTCCAGGCATCTCGTGACAGAAGTCGGTTTTGCTGTTGTTGATCTTCCTGGCGGGCTTTCAGGGAGCAAATAAACAGGACATGGACATTCATTTTCCACGAGGAAATGAGCTGCAATGGAAGGTATCCAAGCAGCCATCGACCGGTCGGCTCGCAGAGTTGCCGACAGCCCCCGCCTTACAAAGCGTGGGGGCAAAACCTGTTTTTGTACTTTACCTTGGGATCTGCATGTGGACGGCCCATCTTTGATCTCCTTGGGCCGTGGCTTCAGGAGCCTATAGCCTACCACAGCACATGCACTGCAACACATCGGAATGGATCTATTCAGAAGCTAGAAATTATGGCAAGCATGCACTTTTCGCGGGGGTCAGTTGAGTTGGACCAGCCCAGGTTGGACATGACAGATTGGCACTGCTTACTGGCCACTGGGTTTGTTTTCAAATATGGAAGCCGCCCAATCAGCAACCCATACTGTGGATGGACGAAATCCATTTCGCACCACCTAAGAAACCCTGAAATGATTTTATTCCCCTGTAAATACCAACAAATAATGGTTTCAACCATGGTTTCCAAGTGAGAGTCGTTCTAAAACCCTTGCTTTGCTTTTTTAGAATGAGGTTTTGGCGGTTGGTGTAGGATTGGTGTAGAGTTCGAGTCGCGGAAGCTCCACGCAAGCGCGGCGGAAGCTTATGACTAAAAAGTAGCACGTGTTTAGATCCTTTGCTTTCAAGATTAGATGTAACGTGTTTTGTTTTTGTCTGCAGCGCGTAAGCCTCGCGGAAGCTCCGCGGAAGCTTTGTATGTGCAGCCATTTGGGCGGAAGCTTGGGGCAGAGATTTGAAAGAACAAAACAACCGGAAACAAAAAGGACGCGTTTTTTCGCGGAAGCTCGCGCGGAAGCCCGTGGAACAGAGAGAATCCCTGTCGCGTGGCCCGTCCCAGACAGCCACACCGAAACACGCACGCACCCACGCACCCACGCACCCGCGCACCCACGCACCCACGCGCCTACCCACCCACGCGCCGTCAGCAGAATTTCAAAACAGATCGATGCTGTCGGTGCTGGGCGTTGGGGGGGCCTGGCGGCTGAGAAAGCGTTTATAACAAAGCCAACGTGTTTCGATAACGTGTTTTGTCGCGGAAGCGCGGCGGAAGCCTAAAAGCGAAACGGGCCAGGAACAGACATTTAGAAGAACCCTCAAGTGGTGCGAAAAGGATTTTGTCCATCCACAGTAGCACCCCGGGTTGCTCAGCACAATTTGTCGGGTTTGGTTCATCGCCCATTTTTCTCTATTGTAGTGGTTGGATTGGGATATTCACTGGGGGTACCATTTGTGGTTTTGACCAGGTTTGGTCCGGCTTTCGTCGCTTTTCGACAGGGACGCCCTGAGTCCTTGGGTTCGCCACGATCAACTCTTGTGGCGACTTTTTCTGATTTGCTGGAGTTTGCGGGTTTTTGCGGGAGATTTGCGGAAATTTGCGGGCGTTTTGCGGTCAAAATGGGTACGCTTTTTCTGCACCGCACAACTTTGGACCGCCGCCGCATGTTTTCACAAACTTGCGGGCTGCATTATGTCGTTTACCCCTGCAAAGCTTTTTTAATCTGTCAAAGGCCGCGAGCAGTGCAATAGTGTGGTTTTTAAGAGTTTCAGGAGTTTCAGGTTTTTGCGGCAAAAAGTGCTACGATTTCCCGAATATCCAGTCAAAGGCGGAAACTGCGTTTTGTTTTCTGAGATGAGACGCTTTGGTTTGATGTTCAGAGTCACTGACATTCGAGCTGTGTTGGGGAAGGTGTCCGGGATGCCCAGAGTCTTCAGTTCTGAAGTCCTATAATTACAGCAGCATGGCAATGGTATGGTGCATTGACCCGGCAAAATCCATGCTCCCCCAAAAGTTTTTCTGATTGCCTAGCGTCTCTCTCCAGGCGATGGGTGACAAGGAGGCTGCCGAGGCGGGACATTCCGGCGCTTGGTACCCCCTTCTTCCCAATCAGGGCCGGGTGTGGTTAAAGTGGCAAAGTGCAGATGCCAAAAGGACACGGCAAGGACTCCAAGAAGGAGTCCGAAAGATACCAAAGGCGCCAAAGGCATATCAGACTGGAGCAATTGAGAACGCAGATGCCAAAAGGGCTCTGAAAGGCCCCCCTACAAGGTGCGAACAGGACAGACAAAAACGGGAGAAATTCAGAAAGACACTGAAGCGGACATGTGAGCGCGGTCCCAGTTTGGTCGGGATGTATTTCGGACATCAACGGAGACCTATTTAGCTGGCAAATGGCCACCAACCACCTCGTACAATTTCAGGTTGTTTGCATGCTGGTGTGTGTCTATGTCAGCTTGCTATGCAAAGCAGCCATCGTGGGAACCAACCTACCATTTTGCTATCATGTTGACCCCTTATTAATCAAACCCAGCTTGTTATTAAGGGGTGTCCCTGGGTTTGGGTTTAGTGCCGAATCATCACTTTTGGAGGGGCCCCCCCACCCCCTATTAATCTAAGACCTCACACGACCGAATGCGCCCCAAATGGTGGTTTATGTTGGGAATAGCCCCCCAACCTTATTTGAGGTTGGTGAAACATTATTTGTTTCACCCAGATTCATATTATAATTCACCCACATATTATGATTCACCTTATTTCAGGTTGGTCGATTAACGTTGGGTCAACATCAAGATGCCAAGTTCTGCTTGCGTCCCTCGGAAGCCTTGGGCTTCGTTCCAGCCGCAACCGGCTCGCAGGAGCTTGGGCGAGAGGCGCCTGTCCGGTTGGTTGCCCTTTAAACAGGGCTCCTTAAAATATCTTCATTTTGCAACCATTTGAAACATGTTGCTTTTTCAACACCAAAATAAAGGGAAACCACAATTTACAAGGCAATGTTCAGGTGTATAACGTAAGGATTCCTGTTAAACCCAGAGTTTGGGGGCGGGGGCGGGGGGTAGCCTCACAAAAAGACAGACCCAAATATCAGTAGAACCTGGTTTGCATTTCGGGTTCAGCATAGCAACCATCTTATTGTGCTTGGGCGGCTGGGTCGCGAAAGCTCGAGAGGTAGCGTGTCAGCCTGTGAGCTCGGCATTTGAAATAGACCCCGGATTGATTCATGGGTCGAGTTTCCCCGAAATCCAGTTGGGTTGCCGCCGTGGCTCGGAAAACACATTTTTTGTCAGGTGTTTGAAGTATGAACCCAATGGTGCTAGGGTTCTAGGGGTACCTTCCCCATTCTTTCCAGGGATCCTTTTTTTCAGGAAACCATCAAAAACGCAGGGGAAACAACCGGTTTTTGAAAAGAACCATGGTTGAAAAGAATGGAAAAGGAATCAACCCCTAGAAGGGTCCAAGTCCCAAATCCATCCGGCTCATGAAATGAGGCTCGCATGCAGAAATGAGAGATGTCGGAATTGATCGCTTCACAGCCGTGAAGCCCGAGGGTAGCTACCTCCACGATGGTCAAGGGGATTTCCGTTGTTCCTCAAATGCATGCCCCGGCTTGAGAAGAATGGTTGGCCCAGTCCGGATGAAACTGCAGTGAGCCATGAAGATATGAATGAACCGCAATCATTTTGTGCCCCCAGTATCTTGCTGGTGCTTAGTAGACTCAGGGAATGAGGGAATTGTTTCATGCTTGGAATCTGAGGGTAGTTCACCCACTTTCGGATTTTGCGTCTTCGCGCAGGCAAGCCTCAGCCCAAAGGCGCGGGTGGAGTCTTGCTGGTTTTAGTCCAACAGCCTCAAAGGGAAACCAATCAAAGGTATGCTTGCCTCTGGTGGTTTGGATTGATGGTTCTTAGGTTGCCGGGGAACTTACCTATGGAGCCAGAATTCAGATCACCACCAAGACAAAATTCCAAGTAAGGGCTACATGACGAAATCGGTTGTGTCTGATTGGTATGTTTGTTGCTCATAGTTTCTTCAAAAGCAGAGGAGCTACGGAGAATGTCGGACAATATTGCTGGTTGGTGTTGCTTTTGTGGTGTATCGGTTTTGCAGACAGGGCGATGTTAGTGGCCGGTTATTGACTTCATGTGGTCAGGCGTTCGTGTGAGCCCGCCGCTTGCCTCCAGAGAAGGCAAATGTGCCAAGTCAATCTATCCAGGTGATAAATAGGGCTAGCACTTGTTCCGTGTCGCTTAAGGCTTCCTATGACTGCTATTGACTCAAAGGCGGCAAAGGCAGGGCCCCATGTGCTGCTTCCTGATGAAACATGAATAAAGCAACCAGGGACTGCAGCATCTGGTTTTGACATGTTGGTGCGGTCAAGCGCAAATTCCGATAACAGACCGCGAGTACCCAGCTGGCAACTCAGGTTGGGCGCAACTGTGGAGTAAAGGCAGCCGTCTAACCTTTCCAGTAGCAAGAACTAATTGAATACCATTGATTGCCCCGAGCGGCCACTGTTTTTGGTCCGTTTGGTGAACGTTGGCTATGAGTCAACAGAAAGAATGTCAAGCCAAGGTAGCATGCTTCTGCAACAGGATTTTTTTTTTGGGGGGGGGAATGGAACCGCAAATATGCACGCGCGATTGCAGGGACAGGCATGTTGTCAAGATAGGGATTTGGAACCCCTCAGAAGGGTTGGCTTTCCTTCGGCTTTGCTTTAAACTAGCCCCAAGAAGGGAACCCTCAGGAGCACGCCCATTTGGCTGTGGGTCAAAACCAATGGTACCATTTTGGGCTAGGTGCACCACCCATTTTAGAGCCTACTTTAGTGGTTGGATGGGGATGTTTGGGGGTACGATTTGGATTTTGACCATTGGCCATTTGGTTGCCGTTCGGGTCACTTCCGTCGAGCTGAGCGCGCTTTTTCCAGGAAAGCCTGCCAATGGTGCCGGCAGTGTCGAGCTCCAGCTGTGCCTTGGCGCTTTTTCCCCACCGAGAAGTTGGGGCTTGGCCCTTCGGAGGACGTACCAAACGACCCTTTTGGGTGTCCGTTTGTTAGGGGCAGCCGTCGAGATGGCTTCGTTTTTCCCTTTGCTTCCCCGTTAAAAAACCATGCAAACATACGGCGCGTGGTTGCAAAATCCGCTTCTCGCACCACCGTTCAGAAACCCAAGGGAATGATTCGGCTTCCTACTGTAAATACAAACAAACGTTATGGTTTCAACCATGGTTTCAAAGTGGTGCGAAACGGATTTTGTCCATCCACAGCATGATTGGTCAATTTGATGTATGTCTTGTCAACTTGATGCATTTTTCCGTGGGGTTCCTTGATGCAGTTGTGGTCAGCCATATCTGCCATAGCCAACAGACGCACCGTGGGGTTGTTGGGAGGGGCTGCAAGATGTTGGTTGATGTTCCAAATCTTTTGGGGTCATAATTTCGGCGGTTTTGGTGGATTATCAAAGTCAGCAACTGGGGCTGTTTACCTTTTAAAGTACCACTTAGGCGGCGGTCTTGTGATGACGGTTGAATAGCGAATCCAGTTTGGGCGTTCCCTTTTTGGCCTGACTGGTGCTGGTGATGTTTTTCGTGGTCAACCTGATGTATTTGTTTGGGTCCAGGAAGGGCGGAAACCACGGCCGTAGGGTTTGGTAACACGACAAACCCAACTTCACGAGGGAAGACGGTGCCCTTGCTGAGTGGTTATCAGGTGGACCCACACAAGCATGTGGGAATATACGGAGTGGATAAACCTTTCCTCGGATAGGCAAAACGGAACCGTGGATGTCAACAAAAGCAGGTTTGGGGTTGGATCGGCAAACCGAGGTCCCCTTAAACAAGGATGTTTTGTAAGTAGGAAATGATCCGCTGCGCAACCGGCAACTGGCGGGCCATGATCCAATCGCTTGATTTTTTTTCCGGCCACGAGTTGAGTCGGATTGCTGGACAGCACCGATACATCGTAGGGATTTGTTTGGCATTGTTCGGTACTTCAAGGCTCCTTAGATGTGTTTCGAGTACTTGCGTAGTTCAAGGTGCGTTAAGTACGGACCATCTAGAAACAAGAGGTAGAACGAGGTTGCGAAGTGCTTTAAAGCCATATGTAGTCATGATCCTAAGTAATTTGTAAAATTAGCTCCTTGCGTTAATTGACACTTGCAATACTGTGGACGGACAAAACCCATTTCACACCAGTTGGGATGGATGACGCCGTGACAGTCTATAAACAATGGGATTATATCACCACCTGGTTCGAAATGGACTTGTGGTCCACATCTAGCAAGGCCACACAAAAAAACCTAAGCCACACTCAAAGCCTGGCAAGATAAATGATGCACTAAGGGGATAGTCCCAGCCATAGTGAGGGGATCCAGTCGTCCCAGCCATGGCCATGGGTCATAATCCCGTGCGCCCAGTGAACGGGACCCAATCCAACCACTATAGACTAAAATGTGTGGTGAATTCACCTAATTACCCCAAAATGGGATCCCAAAACGGTTTTGACCACCACAGCCAAATGGACGCAGGTCCCATGACCATCCAAGTCTCAGACCCACCAACTCTGCGTCCCGCGGTAGGCGTGGCAGTGACGACGGAGCTCGAAGAGATGGCGCCTGTCTGGGCCCCAGATGCCCAGTGACGCCTTTTTTCAGGGGTATCTAAGGAGATGTATAATCACTATCTACCATCTAGATACTACTAATAATAACATACTTATACCTAATATATACTTAACTAGTCTATCCCATAGACTACCTCTAAGGTGCGCAAACGGTTTGATTTGGGTGTGGCCTTTCCGAGTTGGGATGGTTTGGCCGTCCTGGAGGGCGGTGTCCCTAAAATCAACTACCCCAAGACATGCGTGCCCTGGTTTTTCTGCCATGGCCACTGTTTTGCCAAGAGCATCGGACCTCAAGTCTCAACCCCAAAAGAGACACGCTCACGCGAGGTCCCGCCTATGAGCCAGGATGAAAGTTTGGGTAGTTGAATGGGGAACCAAGAAACACAGTACGGCAAGAATCCCTTTTGTTTCTTCAGAGCGTGGGAACACGGAAACGACCTAACCTACTGTCATTTGCCATGCGATGGTGGAGTGTGGTTGGTCTACTCGCAATATAAGTATTGCGTTGTCTCGAAATGCCAGACTCCTTTCTGCATAGTTTTCAACTGGCAATCAAAAGAAACCAAGAACTGTGTAAGACGTCCCCTCTCAACGAGCACTGCCATCTGTATATGTATATATATATATATATGCGTGCTTATGTATATGTATGCCTATATATATATATGTTGTATGCATATATATATATATTATATGTATGCATATGTATTTTTCTGTATGCATTGGATCCGTAGCAAGTGACATCTAGCACACAGCAAGCATCAGGAGATGGACCATCCAGGCATCGAGCCCGGCTTCGAGGCGCGGAAATCGGAAAGGGAGGCGAGTCACTTAGCGGAGGGGAAGGGAAGGGAAGGGACATTCACTGCCTGTATTGTATATGGTTAATTGTTCCAGTGGGCTGAAGCAAATGGAAGATACAGCCCTGGTTGATTGTTTTGGGGGGGTTCACCACTTCAACATTATGGCCATGAGTCTTAGGTTGGTGGACGTGAAGCCAATGATGTCCACCTATATGACGTCAGTACAAAAAGTCACACCACGGGCGTGTCCTTTTTCAGGCGCTGTCCTTTTTGTTGTTCCTTTCAAGCCGCAATCAAAGGTGCCCTACAAGGACACAGCCATCACCAAGGGAAACTCAGCCAACGAGGTGACTTTTCAACGTTTCAACCAACCCCGTTGGGAAATATAGTTGGTCTCATAAGAACCTTTGCTGGGGTCTCTTGCAGAACTATGGAATCCCGTGAGCTATCTTAAGGGGCTTTGCGCTGGGCTGTCCTATGAGGGATTACTGATCGAAACTGGCAATTGCTATTTGGTGTAGCGGTTGAAGAGTGGATACTTTTTTGGGTTAGTTACTACAGCTGTCATATCTTTTCGTGAAACTGGTGGTCGGCGGACGATGTTGCGTTCTTTCACGGGTTGTAGCTCTTTGACTCCCATTGCAACTGGCCCTCGGGCGCTTACCTCTTGAGTCTTTGCTCCAATGTTGGAGAGACACCTGCTTGTGCTTAGGTTGTGCGCGCAGGAGATTCAGTGTTGACATGTTTGCATACGTGTTTTCATCAACCGGCTTGTGGTGATGAGTTTCAGTTCTTTGCACTTCAAAGGGGTGAAAGCTGAACGTTTGCCGCGGCCAAACAGTGACCGGATGACCCCGCAACAACCAAGTAGCGACAATACAGGCACAGTCCGCCAGGCAACAACTAGGACGCATCAAGCAACAACCAGGCCACGCATTGCGCAAGCAGTGCAACTTTAGCGACACACCCCTCACCCCTCCACCGCGCATGGCGCCGTTGGCCAAATGCTAGGGAGACAAAGATCTGACTTTGTCCTCCCAAAGGAGGTGCTTTTTTTCTTTCACATATCTGCGCGGGGCGTGTATGAGGCTTTGACAGCTGCTGACCACCGGCACGTTCCTCCGATTGTCCTTTATCATGGCAGCTTTGCAGAGCGATTGACCCCACAGCAGCCGCTGAAGGGACGCCGGCATTTTTCAAAGATGCCCCTCGCTGACGTGTCCTATATCCGGCAGCACTTTGCCCTTGTTCCTGAGTCCGGAAATGGCAGCCAGCTAGGTTTGGCTGATCTTGCCGCGAAAATGAGCGGCGACTGCGTTCTTGCTTTTCCGCTCTGGCGGGCGCACGGCGAGTGCTACAGGTATTTGACTTCGACTGGCCCAACGCCGTGGAACTTGCCTGGGCTAGCTGCGACAGCTCCAGCTGCCTCACAGGAAGCTCAGAGCGAGCTTGAGGTGTTGCTGCAGCAGTGCGCCGCTGCAATCCACCAGGGCGAGAGCAAGGCAGCGTTGGACACATTGTCCAAAGTACAGAGCGCCCTTCAAGTGACAGCGGGTCGCCAATCTCGCAAAAAGGGTGGCTGGCAATATGCCCCGCAGTACATTCTGCACACTGTACTTCTTGCTGACGAGGCGCGTGACATTGAGAGGCTGCCACAAACAGTTGCTGCATCCTGGAGGCTTTCACTCCATCCCATGCTTGTGAGCTACCTGGAATCTCAGGCATTTGACGCAGCATCTAAGAATACTGTTTTGCGAAGCCGTATTTCAGTCGATCTGGCCAGCATGGTGTACTGTCGGGACGTGCGGCTGCCAGCTTCTGGCGGGTTTATCACCCACCTTCGTGTGGACAGCTCGCCACAGTTTTCGCGAGACTACTGCGTCATGGAGTTGGACATTCTGTCAAGAAGCTGCATGCAGCAGCAATGCCACTTGTACGAGATTGCCAGTCATGTTCACACGCGGCTGATGCCGCTGCAGGTGATGGGTGTGCGTGCAACATCTACGATGCACAAAGCCCACTACATCACAACAGCCTTGAGGTTAGAGAGTGGCTCCTTACCGGTTACGTGCTCGTCTGTTTTTTCCATCCTCTGTGATATGGGGGTGGAGCGAGGCTTGTGGGCGGCCCCCAACCTTCCAGGAGATGCATCCGACCCGGACGGTGGTGAGCCGGAAATCACATACATGTTTGCGCGCCATCTTCCTCTGGCAGACTCAGACCACGCCCTCCATCACGCTCCCTGGCCACGCGCAAGCCAACACTGGATGGCTATGCGTTTCGGGAAACGCAACGTTGTTTCTCTGGTAAAAAAGGTGTCAAACGAGAAAGAAAACAGCCTTGGTTCGACATGTGTCCATCCAACATGTTGTAGGGAGCAACTGTGCAATTTCCCTTTCAAGATTACCTGAGCCAAACACGGGGGCCCCAAAAAAGGACAGGGTTTCCTTATAGATTCCTTCAAGACACTCTGAAACAAGTACCTTGGAAAAAGACAATCGTATGTTCCTTGGGTGGAGCCCAAGCAACTTGTTTGGTGCCGGGAGTCAACTACTTGTGCCTTTTCCTGCGAAACAAGGTAATGTTGCGAATGGAGGACGGCTTTGTCAACAACAGCTGGAAGGAGTTCATGAACTGCTTGAACAGCCTCAGCAAATTTTTCGGTCATCGTGGCCGTTTAGACCGCTTCAGAGACTTGTATATCGACAAGAGTTCACACCCAGCATTTGTCCAGGACATGGTTTGTTGAGTTTGGGCGCTTGGCCAAGACTTGAAAGGGGCCCCTTGAGCCACACCCTGTAAACGCCTGAGTGGGAACCTAAGCTCTGAAAGTCTAGCTTGGTCCCTTCCAGGATCCTTCCTTGCGGACTTCGATGAGCAAACTGATGAGATTTGTTTGCCCAGAGCTGACTGAACACGATGGGAATATGTGCAGCTCGGACGTCTGGTGTAAAGTGAGTTTGGGGTGGATTTTGAAGAGTTGATTTGTGGTCAGGTAGCTCCAATTGTTGTAAGGCACGATGTCTTGAGCTGGACTTTGACCAGAAAACGAATCCTGTTCTTCGCGGATCCGTCGGGCATGCAAGCGAAAGATTTGAGCCCAGGTGAACTGAAATGCGCAGTGCAAACCTTGTTGCCAAACCGTGCATCTGCGTGGTTCTGGCTCATGGCCGAGTATGTCTACAAGCTTGCCTCGTGGGGGCACAAATTGATGGGGTTTCTTCACGGATGCCCATGCCACCCAAGTTCTGAATCCAGGAAACAGCTTCAAAAGCAACGGAAGCAGGCAGGCAAGGACCCCACTTGCCCTATGGCAGCCCGCATGCTCATCCCGCTTTCTCTGGGATGCATTCGCCATTTTGAAGAGGAACTCCAGCAGGTTGGCTTGGTGAAGTCAGACGAAGTCCACGCTGCCGAGCAAGCTCTTGATGAATACCCTGATGGGTCATCTGTGTGTGATTCTATTTATCAGGAGTTCTGCACGGCGAAGAACCAGATGATGTTTCGTTTGAGGCTTACATTCTCTTGTTGGACGCAATTGCCCTGGAGCATCTTTGCAATCATGGAACCCTGGGCAAGATCGGAGTCTGGTGAAATTCGCCAGTGTGAGACTTTGATGCAAGTGGCTCGGCCATTTCCTGCAAACAAAAAGTGTCACTCCCTACACACGCCCGCTCTGTCCTTCTCAGGATTTGCGGCGTTCACGGGAGCGCGCGGGTGAGCTGTTGCAGGAGTACGCGAACGCCAGCAACCAAGACAAGTACGGTGTGGCCTGGCCAAGCAAGTTGTTGCAGCCAGGGGTTGCTCGCCAACTCAAGAGTGAAGAGTTAAAGAGACTAGTGTTGTGCGTGTAGGGTCGGCAAGCACAGTTGTAAAAGCTGCAACAGGTGTTGGAGTTCTACGTTGACCTTGCCAGTAGAAAAGCTTGAGCCACCCACCCTCGAACAATCCTGGGTTCAGCTCTATTTTTCATGGGGCCAAGACTGGACCCGATTTAGAAGCCAGGCGACCCTGCCCCTGTCACACGCGCTAGAAACTGCCGTGGAGGCTCAGGAGCCGTTGGAGCTTTCAACCTTTGTCAAAGCAAACCATTCTGGACGTTGAAGTTGAATCCATGCCGGACCTGTTTCGATTTTGTACTGAAGCCGTTTAGGGCACTGAAGTGAAACCGTGAGGAATGGAATTGAGACCAATGCAGCGCCAGAACCATTGCTAACTGTTTGTGTTTTTTTTGGCTGTTTAGCGGTTGCAGGAACGGTTTGAGAATGGCTGCGCGTGGCTGCAGACTGCTGTCAATTACATACGGTTTTAGAATGCTTTCGAGATGGTTTCCAAGAGGTTCAAGCAAGGTTCCGGAGGTTCCGGGGTGGTCTGGCATCGGACAGGCCAGGTGTAAGGCTCAAGGAAGGTTTCGGAGACTGTTGATGGCCACGTGTAAAGGTTCCAAAGTCCGGGCTGCCTGGGCGCCAGGTGTAAGGAAGGTTGTGGAGATTTCACTGGTAGGTTTGGCCAGATAATAAGCGAAGGTTCCGGAAGTTCCGTTTGGGAAGGCTTCGAGAATGGCCGCCTGACTGGGCATTTAAAGCTGTTTAAACGCTTGTTGCGGGACTTTCAAACCGACGTCAGATAGTTTCCGGACTGGTCTTCCCCTGATTTGAAAGGAGGTTGTGTTCTTTTCAGACCCTAGACTTGTGACGGCTCGAGCATTTCAACCCTTCTGAGTCTGAAACCAGGTTGTGAAACCCTTTTGAAATCGTTTTGAAACCATGTTGAAACCATGCTGAAGCCATTCTGAAACCATTCTGAAACCATTCTGAAACCAATCTGCAGTCTGAAGCCGTTTTGAAACCATTCCGGAACCCTTCTGAAACCATTTTGAAACCATGTTGGAACCCGTTGGATACCATGTTGAAACCATTCTGAAACCCTTCTGAAACCATTCTGAAACCATTCTGAAACCATTCTGAAACCATTCTGCGTTCTGAAGCCGTTTTGAAA